GCGCGCGAAATTCAAGCTCCTATTCCCTAGAGAGCCTATAATCAGAGTGACGCCATACGAGTATCACTTGTGATTGCTCCGCCATGTTTCAGCCATTCCCTCCAGTTTTTAAACGCATTATTTTCTAAATTTTGAATTCATGCTAAAAAATGCTCAAAAATTATGACAAATTAAAAAATGATAATAAATAAATATTGTATATAAAATAATAATATATATAACATTATATATAAAATAATAAAATTTTATATATATTATTTATTATAAAATTTCATTTATTTTATACTATTGCAATATTGTACATTTTGTAATATTGCACATTACTTTATACAAAATGTTATTTATTGCACATTATTTGCGCTATGTTGAAAACAAAATTTATTTTAAATAAGAGAAAATAAATCGCAAAATGAAACATATTTTACTTAAAAGAATGATACATCGATTTACTGTCATAATATTTGATTCGGTAATACAATTCTACGCTTATTTTTAAATTTTAAATGCACTGTAGCAAATTTTTTAATAGTTTTAAACGCAAATTATGATAATCAAGAATATGATCTGTGGGAACAGAATCAAATTTATTAACGAAAAAGATATGTAAATTTACATTACGTATTTTTTCAATGTAAAGACTATAATGTCTATAAATATTTTCCAATTGTAAGAAAACTTGAAATATCGCCTTATTAACAAAGTATAACGTATTTGCGTTGTAACATTTAATTCTTATCAGTTCAGAAAATTTAAAATTTAATGGTTTTTTGTGCCAGATTTTATGCAATTACATGAGGTACATGTTTTTTTAACAGATGCCAAACAATATTCTGCAACATTATATAAACAATTCATCTCTTTATTATTATACGCTATTGTTAAATTATTATCAAAAGGAGGAATTTGGTCTATGATTACAATAAATGAATGAAATACAGAATTTGATACGTCATTTTTTTTACACTTTAAATAATCTATAAAACCAGAAAGGTATTCACTATTATCAGTTTCAATTTCCTATCAATATTGGTTTCGTATACATCGATATAGCTATAACTTTCAAATTATTTTTAAATTGTAAAGAATCTAAAATGGATTGGATTTTTATGTCGCAAAAGTGAAAATAGATTTTCTATACAGTCTTGTGTAAGACGACCAGTTAAAATAAATTGAAAAATGAATTGCGATGTTCTAAAAGATACTCTACTAAATTAATAATTGATGTTGTAGAGAGTATGATGTCTCTTTGTATAGGTTTAAATTTATATTCACTATCTATTTTTATTTTCGTAAAAAGATCTATTATTTTACGAAGAAAAGAAATGTTAGCATTATATATTTCTTTATTTCTTGTATCCAATCCTTTACAACATGTTCTAGAAGTCATTAATGAGAATCGCTTAGATGGTTGTTTAACAAACCATGAAGTTATAATATATTCTGTCTTATGATTAGCTAAAAATTCTAATGCACTACTGACATGGGTTGAAAAAACATTTTTTGCTTTGTTTACACGCATTTATTGTAAGTATTAGTAGTTTTGATATCATCAATATTTAATCTAGGCGTTAGAAAAAATTCGAGATCTTTCTGAGATTCCATTAATTCATTAAAATGTTTAATTCATTAAAATGTTTTTTCAACTCTGTTACATAGTAATTTATACTTATTAACAAATTCTTCTGGCAAGATAAAAAATTTGTTGTTAAGTAATGATTCTTTTACATTTTTCAAAAGATGTAGTACATCTGCAATAAAATATAGGAATTTATTAGGATCAGAAGGATGGGGAATACAATTTCTAACGTCTGAATATCGTCCCACACTTATCCCATAACATTTCCATAGTTTGCCATTTCCAAGATCCATATCAGAAGTTACATAATTAACATGAAGACCAATTATTTCAGCTTTATGAATTATCTGTAAAATGATATCTTTTAAAACTGCTCCATTAAATGAGTCGCCTGTGTAAAAATAACCCATAATATCCATCGATTAGCTGTACCTGTTAACATTAATGTTAAAGCATGCATTGCATTACCTTCTTTATTTGGAAATGTTATATTTCCTAGTAATGTTTTCGTTGAAGAATCATAAACATGTTTTAGTGTTACTTATTTCATCAATAACAAGCCCACATTCTTTATCATTTTGAAAAGAAGATAGTTTAAATTGTAAAAAATCGAACATTTCATTTGAAATATCACTCTCAAATTTTAAATTTTCCAATCTTCGTTGTAAAGTGCGCAAATTTGGAAGTGGTATTTTTTGTTGTAAAAACTCTTCATAACCATTAGTATCACAAGTAAACCTCAATCTAAGTGAACATTGAACAGTTTCATTAAGCCAATTTGTTTTTCGTTTTTTTGTTAATAGCTTTAATTTGTTCTTCATTGAATACTTCCTTTAAAGCTTTTTTTATATTGATCATTATTATTTTTATTTTCAAGTCTTAATATTCTAGATCTTAAAATTCTCATTTTCTTGCGCATAAGAGTTAAATGGATTTGCATTTTTCGATTTATTTCTTCTAATTTTTTGTTTCTATCTTTTTCTTTTTTTCCATCAATTTCTGTTATACTTGAAGTACATTTTGTTGATGATGTATTAGGATTGATTATTGATGCATTAACTTCAAATTTATAGTTATCATTTATAGTTATCATTTATAATTATCTAAAAGATATATTTATTATAAATGTTTATAAATATATATACTTCTTTCATTGATTTTTATCACTTTTTTGATTTTACCTGTTCTATAATTTACTATAATTTACTATAATTTACTATAATTATTATAATTTGATCTTCTTTGCAATCGTCAGAAATAAACCTACGTTTATCCTCAACTACATCAAAATTTTGATTATTAAAAGGTACTTTCTTCTTTACAGTATCTGAAAATTGTTGGCACTGCATTTGGTTTTAATTTCTTTTTATTATCCATTCTCTGTTTCTATATTTTAAGAGCAAAATGCATCTGTAATAATATAAAAGAAATCAAAAATTCAGAAAAATATTATATAGTATATACCATTTCATAAAATATTATATATTAAATATCGTAATTATCATATTGATTTAGACTCACAATGCAATGATAATTGAAAAGATTACGACAAAAAGAGAAAGAATTAAATTCAATGTGATGACTATACATATACTTAGTGCCAAGACACTACCGTGTATTCAAATATTATAATTAATCTGTGTATATTTTATATTACATTTTTATTTTAATATCTTAAATATATTTATAAAGAATAAATTACTTTACCTCACATACAGATGAATTTTTTGACGGTGTATACTTCTTTTTTTATTAAAATTTGAAAATTTCTCATACTTATTCATGTTATATGAATAGAAGTCAGCATGTATTGAAGCTTCTATTACACTTATGTAATCTGTACAAATAGAAATTATAATTTATTAACATCACATATTTAACAAGATTAAATAAGCAATACTTCTTTTACCTTTGCAATATTTTAATTGTTGTATACCTTCAACAGCTTCCATTTGCGACTAGCTTCCAATTATGTTTAATGTCCTAACTTTAAATGATACCGATATCTATTTTCAACTCTTCGTAACTATTCGAAAAATTTATTCCTTAAACTGTTAAAAGTTGAGCTGTACACGTTTGAAATAGTTCCTACAAGAATTATTTTATTATAAGACAAAATGTATTTTAAAAACTAATTTCTTACGTTAAACAAATTGTACCAATCAATAATTACCCATAATATTTGTCATACCCATAAAAGTCATGTCTTTAATTCCCTTTGTCTTACGTTGACCATCCCATGTTAAATGTCTGGCAAGCTGATTGGAAAGAGTTATAATCAAACAATTAATCAAATGATTTTCTGCTGATTTTTCATCTATCACATGAATCTTTTTTCATTGTAAAAAATATCAAATACGAAATGTGACTTTAAAAATATATTCATCTTTTTTTTTATTAATAAAAACAATGTTCAACTTACAAATTGATTTCGTAGTTTTTCGTTCTTTTTTAAATCGTTACTAAATTTTTTAAAGTCTTCCATTGAATTTAACGGAAAATTAGGTAATAAGTCCAAAGAATATTTTGCTGTTGATGAAGAATATTGTTCATGAAGAATAATCAAGATTTCATCTACTTTTCGATTTATTGACATTAAATATCCTTGTGTGGAATTTTCTCGTAAAAACAAAAATTAAATAACATGAATGCAAAAAGACTACACAGCAAGAAAATTTGTATTTGTGTTACAAATGATCACTCAAGTCTTTGTTAAAATTTTGTGTTAAATTTTTAATATATTCCAGTATTAATTTAACTTATTGTTAGTGTTATGTAATATACTGTGATTATTTTAATATTTTGTATTAAATTGATTTTCAATATTCTTCAGTGTTAAAGTAATATAATTGTGAGTAGTAATAAATCATATAAAAATATTTTTCAAAGAATTTTAAGATAAATAAATAAATTATGTAATAATAAATATATTATTGTAAAAGTTAAATTTATTGAAATATGTTAATTTAATTAATTTATATTATAAATTAATTTTAATGAAGATATTGTATATAATTGCGTACAAATTGTCAGCGTCACATTTTTTGTGTAAAATTTGTACATACTCTTT